ACAGAAGAAAAAAAAAGAGCAAATAGTATGCCTCAATCTGCATTCAAACTCCATAGTTCTTTATTCTTTGTGGGTAGCATTTTCCATCATGAAGCCTTTGAAGATGTCTTAGGTCCTTGTATTGCGGAGAAGGGTTAAGTCTATCAACGTTAGTCATTGCACAACATGGATGTTACTGTGTACAACGTTCTCCTGGTTCTGTTCACTTCACTTACCATCAGACCATACAGGTCTTTCTAGGTTTTTCTGAAGTCAGCCTGTTCATCATTTCTTATAGCACAATAGTATTCCATTACATTCATATACCACAACTTGTTCAACCATTCCCCAATGGATGGGCATCTTCTCAATTTCCAATTCTTTGCCACCACAAAAAGAGCTGCTGTGAATATTTTTGTATATGTTGGTCCTTTTCCCATTTGTATGATCTCTCTGGAATATAGCCCTAGAAGTGCTATTGCTGCGTCAAAGGGTATGCACATTTTTATAGCCCTTTGGGCATAGTTCCAAATTGCTCTCCAAAATGGTTGGATCAAGAAACCTTTTCAATTTTTTTCCCAGCTATTCTTTTTTTCCCCCCGAGGCAATTGGGGTTAAGTGACTTGCCCAGAGTCACACAGCTAGTTAGTGTCAAGTATTTTGTCTGAGGTCAAATTTGAACTCAGGTCCTACTGACTTCAGGGCTGGTGCTCTATCCATTGCGCCACCTAGCTGCCCAGCCCTTTTTAATTTAATGTAGTCAGAATTATCCATTTTACATCCTGTAATGCTCTCTATCTCTTGTTTGGCCATAAACTCTTCCCTTATCCATAGATATGCTAGGTAAACTACCCTGTACTGCTCTAATTTGCTTGTAGTATCATCCTTTAAGTTTAAATGATGTACCCGTTTTGACCTTATCTTGGTATATGGTATGAGATGTTGTTCTATACCTAGTTTCTGCCAAACTGCTTTCCAGTTTTCCTAGCAATTTTTGTCAGATGGTGAGTTCTTGTTCCCAAAGCTGCGGTCTTTGGGTTGATCAAATACTAGGTTACTGAGGTATTTTACTACTATCTTGTGTACTTAATCTGTTCCACTGATCTATTCCACTGATCTACCACTCTATTTCTTAGCCAGTACTAGATTGCTTTGATAATTACTACTGTATAATATAGTTTTAGATCTGGTATGGCTGGGCCACTTCCCTTCACATTTGTTTTCATCAGTTTCCTTGAATTCTTGACCTTTTGTCCTCCCAGATGAATTTTGTTATGATTTTTTTCCAGCTGTATAAAATAAAATAATTTTTTGGTGGTCTGATTGGTATGGCACTGAATAAATAAATTTAGGTAGAATTGTCATTTTGGCCCCCCCTTGAGCAATTAGCATTTCTCCAGTTGTTCAGATCTGACTTTATTTGTGTGAAAAATGTTTTGTAATTGTGTTCATAGAATTCTTGGGTTTGTCTTGGCAGGTAGACTCCCGAGTTTTTTCTACTGTCTGCAGTTTTAAATGGAATTTCTCTTTCTCTCTCGCTGCTGGGCTGTTAGTAATATATGAAAATGCTGATGATTTATGTAAATTCCAGTGGTTTCTTATAGGATCAAACACAATTTGGCATTTAAAGCCCTTCAGGAACTGACTTGAACCTCCCTTTCCCTACACAGTTTGGGTATAGCCATGCTGGCCTTCTCCCTCTTCCTTTAACAGTTCTCCCCTGTAGAGGTTCAGCTCGTGGGCCAGTTCCTCCAAGAGACCTTCTCTGATCTCCCAAAAGTCACCACGGGTTGACCTCTGTTATCTTGATAGAAAGTGCGGCATAGACAGAAGGGCAGGAGTGCGGCATAGACAGAAGGGCAGGCACCTGTTGCCTTTTCTCTTCTTCTCTAGCCTGACACATATAGAGGAGCTTAATAAATGTTTGTTGGTTGATGGGTTCCTTGTCCTCACTTCCAGCTTCTATTCATGTCTTTTAAATTCAAGTTGGTTGGACAGAGAGGATCACAGAAAACAAAAAGGAAAATTTTGATTACATAAAATTAAAAAGCTTTTACACAAACCAAATGCAGCTAAAATTAGAATGGAAAAATTAGAATTGGGAAAAAGTCTTTGCAGTAAGTTTCATTGATAAAAGTCTCATCGCCAGGGTATATAAGAAATGGATTCAGATTTGTAAGAGTAAGAGCCATTCCCCATTTGATAAATGATCAAAGGATATGAACAGGCAGTTTTCAAAAGAAGAAATCCACATGACCAATAACCATATAAAAATGCTTCAAATCACTGATAAGTAAAGAAATGGCAATTACAGCCACTCTGAGGTTCCATCTTACACCTGGTAGATGGGCAAAGTTAATGAAAGAGGAAAGTGGTGTGTTGCAGGGTCTGTGGAAGACAGGGAAGGGAATAAGTAGAAAGCACCTACTAGGTGCCAGATATTGGACTGAGCCCTTTACATATGCTACCTCGCTTGGTCCTTGCAACAACTCTGGGAAGTAGGTGCTATTACTATCCTTATTCTATAGTTGGGGAAACTGAAGCAAAGAGCCATTAAGTGCCTTGCCCAGAGATAGCCGGCTAGTAGGAGTCTGAGGCAGGATTTGAACTTGGGTCTTCTTGACTCCAGGCCTCTGAAATGTGCCTGAAAACAGGTGCATTAATGTACTGTTAATGTACTGTTGGTGAAGCCGTGAATTAGTCCCGCCATTCTGTAAAGCAATTTGAAATAGTCCAGAAAGTTAAAAAATTTCACATCCGCTTTGACCCAGGGGCACCCCTGCTAGGCTTTAACCGCACAAAAATCAGAGAAAGAGGGAACGGACCCTTGTGTCCAAAAATACAACTGCTCTTTTAATGTGGCAAAGACCTGGAGTCCTTGGGGTGCCCTTCCCTCGGGGATGATGAACAGGTGTGGTGAAGGGGCTGGTTTCAGAGAAGCCTGGGAGGATTGCAGAAAGGAAATAGAACTAAGAGAGCTCTCCCCCTGCCCCTCCTCCATGAATCAGGGTGCTGGCTCTGCCAGTTAGCCCCGGCTTCTTCCCACCCCGCACAAGGGCTCCAGGAGAGAGTGGGCTTCTCCGAAGTTCCCCTGCCACCCTTTGGAACAATGAATTTATTACTAAGGCAAGCAAGGACATTATGGGCTACCGTACTTGAGCAGAAACAGCACCAGCGAATGTCTCTGCAGAGCTAAGGTCGCAGCGTGCTGGGCTTGTTGGCTGCCCCCAGACTCCTGGTTCCCTCTCGTTTCCTGACTTCTCCTCACTGCTAGGGGATCCCCCCTCCCCCCAATCACCTTGTTTTTAGGCTGTGCAGAGCCTTGCTCAGACACATTTTCTTCCCTGATAGAATGTAAGCTTCTTTCTTTCTTTCTTTTTTTTTTAATTAATTTATTTTGAATTATCAACGATCACTTCCATAAGCTTTTGAGTTTTAAATTTTTCTCCCCTTCCCTCCTCACCTCCCTCCCCAAGACAGCATGCAATCTGATATAGGCTATACATATACATTCCTATAAAACATATTTTCGCATTAGCGATGTTGTAAGGAAGAATTAGAAGCAATAGGAGGGACCACCAGAAAGAGAAAACAAAACTCAACAGAAGAAAAAAAATAGCAAATAGTCTGCTTCGATCTGTATTCAGACTCCATAGTTCTTTCTCTGGATGTGGATAGCATTTTCCATGATGAGGCCTTTGGAGATGTCTTAGATCCTTGCATTGCTGAGAAGGGCTAAGTCTATCAACGTCAGTCATCGCACAACGTGGCTGTTACTGTGTACAACGTTCTTCTGGTTCTGCTCACTCCCTCAGCATCAGTCCATACAAACCTTTCCAGGTTTTTCTGAAGTCAGCCTGTTCATCATTGCTTATAGCTCAATAGTATTCCATTACAGAATGTAAGCTTCTTGAAGGCAGGGATGGCTCCAGCTTGGTCTTGGTTTCCCTGGTTCCAGGCACAGAGAAGGTGCCTTAGTCTAGTGCCTGGCACATAGAAGTTGGTGCTTGATAAATGTTGATTGATTGGTTTCTTCTATAGAAGAATGCGTTCTGAGCTCCAGAAACTGATTCACAATTAGGCAGCTGGATGGCACCGAATCGCTAGGAAGACCCGAGTTCACATTTGGCCTCTTAAATATTGCCTGCCTCAGTTTCTTCATAGGTTAGATGGGAATAATAACACCTGCCTCACAGGGAATTGAAGTAGATGTACGGTGCTTTGCAAACATTAAAGCATTATATAATTGCTAGATATTTTTATTGTTAATAAGATTTTTAAAAACCACAGTAAATCCATACATTGATGAATATGCAGAGGAGGCTTTCTTTTTTCACCTTTCCTTTTAATATTTTTAATTGATGTTTTTCATAGAACAGTCTGATAAAAACCCTAAAACAAAATCTGCTCTAATGCAGATCGGCAGTGCCCTCTTTCTAGCTCGGAATTGTGGCCAGTAGCCTGGGACCCTGAGAGGTGAGGCCACTGTCCAAGATCACCTGCTGGGATGTGTCTGAGCAAGGCCTGGGACTCAGGCCTTTCTTGCTAACCAAGTGTGACTCCTGAGCTCCACACCAGCTGCCTTTCTGTGTTTTTGAGAACAGGTCCATCCTTCTTCCTTCCTAAGATGAAATCCTTTCAGGAGGTGATAACGGGTGTCAGCTTCACAATTCACTAAGTTTTATTTGTTTTTCTGTCTTTTGCAAATCTCTGAAAAGCAGAGACTGGAGGAGAGGAGGAGGAGGAGGACGGGGGCCAGCCCTGCATCTGGCGCCAATAAATGAGCGTGCAAACACTTCATAAGGATTTTGGTTTACAGTGTTCAGATGAATCTTACTGGCCAGTTCACCGATTTTGTGGCTAAACATGTGTTTATAGCTTTTTAGTTAAATGCAGCATGAATTTTAGTGAGTTTTCCTTTGGTTTGCCATCTTCAGTTTGTTTTATTTGCACTATTCCCTGCCATGGTCATGAGACAGCTCCCTAATTTGTATTTTGTGTTTTTTTATTCTGTTACATAGATATTATCTTGCCCTGAAAGTTCCGGGATTTAAAGAGATGCCCAGCGTTGAAATGCCGGCCCCCAGCAGTGACTGTCCACATTTGGAGTCAGTGGGCGAAATAACAAAAGAAAACTTGATTCAGAAGTCTCTTGTAAGCTGCACGTTTTTGTGACTTCAACATTTGCCTGAAATCAGTTTGCTTCGTGCTTATGGTTAACGACCGAGTGTGTGGACGTGGTCATTTAATTATTTTTTCATTGATAGTGTTCCGAGAGAGCTGGATGTGTGGGAATCTGTAGTCACGTGAGTCTTGGAAATGGCTATTCAGAAAAGTTCCAAGAAAAACCAAGCCTCAAAATCTGCATTGGGAAAAATTCTGATTTTAACAGGATGGGAATAAAGGAAGGGGATTTTTGTTAGTGTCAGATCCGTTTGCTTTACTGAATGTCATTTGACTTCAGTATGGGGATTTGTGCTGTGGCTTTGCCTTCACTCTGTGGTTTAAAACGTGTCTGATGCTGGCGTGGTACGGTGCGAGGAGGGAGGGGTGGTCCAGAGGCGGTGAGGTTGTCTTGGCATTGGCCTGTTGTGGAAAGAGAATTAGCTTGGATTACAGAATTATAATTGATAAGTAAAAGAAGAATGAACTGTTTGTGCATGTGCATATGCGTGTGCAGATCAGTCTGATTCACTAACGTTTTTATAAAGGCGAGGGAAGAGGGGTGGCCCATTGGGATCCCCTTCGTGCACAGGACCCTGGCTCTCTTATGAACAGAGAAATAGCGGGGGAGGGGGAGGGGGTCTCCCGAGAGGTCTCCCAGGGCTGTCTCTGGGAGTGAGCTTCCTTAGGAGGAGGCCGGATGGAGACAAAGATGCTGCCCTGAGGGACCCCCAGACCTCGGTGTGTGCCGACAGCTCTGGAGGCCCGTGTGGTGGCCTAAGGGGGGTGGCTGGGGACGAGACAGGTGGTCGTTCTGTCCTCCTCCCAGAGGGTCACGGAGACAGTGGGGGAGGGGGAAGGACGGCTCAGATGTCTTCTGAGCGTATCCACCCCAGGATGCTCTGGGGCAGCCTTGGAGGGGCTGTGGATGCTCTTAGGGCATGGGGGCCCTGAGTTTAGCGAGTGGCAGGATGAGGCGGGAACCAGCAGGCCTCAGGGTGGCATCATGGAAAGAACCTGTCAGACCGTGCTCTGACTCTGACGCCTGAACCCTCCAAAGCGCTTCGAGACACTGTGTCCTCCTCTGTTGAGTGGGGGCGGCCTCCAGGGAGTCTGCCAGCGCCAGGCTGCATTACCCTAGGGACTATCTCCCGGAAAGCATTTTGAAAACTTGAACTTACGATGTGACGTCAGCGGCAGCTAGGGGCCATAGTTTCCTCAGCTGTAGAATGGCCGTCATGATGGCACCTCCCTCCCAGCGTGATTGTGGGGATTGAATGAGATAAGAAGTGCGCCTGGCACACAGTAGGTGCCTACTAAGTGCTAGCGATGGTTGTTACACTGCAAGGTACCAGAAGAGGTAGGTTAAAGAAAACAGATCACGAGCAAGGGGTATTGGTGACTCCAGGAGGTGCTAAAAATGGAAACCGAGGCAGAGGAAGGGCCTGATTTTCACTGTCGCTAGGCTTGGAGAATTTGAGCCTGACCCATCACCGTCCTGACGTCGAAAGCTCATGTCCCCTGGCTGCTGGCTCCCAGCGGGATTAGAAGATGGGCCCTTCCACGGCATCGTGTCACCACGAGAGGGCATGGAGCAGGTTGGGCAGGAGGCCCAAAGATGCCCGTGTTAAGTCACAGTGTGTCTGTGACCAAGCCTTGTACATTTGTAGGTCTGAAAGGATTTTAGAAATTATTTAATCATAAGATTGTAGCAGAGGTGATTTAGTCTAGCTGCCAGGTTGAAAGAGAAGGAAATAGGCCAGGATTTTCACTCGGATCCCCTGACTCTGATTGTAACTCCCTTTTTTCCTCTTCTGGCTTAGTTAGTGCTTTTACTTTGTGAGCCAGAGCCCGCAGTGGCCTCTCACCCGTGGGTGGCCGGGGTCCAGCCTGAGGCAGTGTGGGGAGATCTTGATGCTTATACCAAGGGCTGCGCAGGGAGCCAGAGCCCTGCCACCGAGAGGTAACAGCCACAATGACGCAAGTTTGATTCGTGGCAGAGCTTCACGACCAGAACGTGTTTGGGCTCAGAGAGCTCCTGGTGCCGGTCAGAGCAATGCAACAGTTCTGTGACTTAGCCAGAGGGAGAGCACAGAGGATGGCTGTTCTGCCAAGCTCAGGGTGCGGCCTGCTCGCTGGGCCTATCCTTGGCAAACGGGGCATCTCCTCATACCTTGACAGGCCCGAAGGAGGATGAATCCCCTGCTCAGGGCTGTGTGCCTGGCAGCTGGGACTCACACTCAGATGTCCGGGCACTGCCTGCCTCTTCTGGTCCTGTTTGGCTTAACTGGACCTGTTTACTCTTAGGGAATTCTGTTAGAAACAAAGGTGGCTGTGAAATGTTTCCTAAAAGGCTGTCTCTGTTCACAGGGCACTTGTCAGGACTGTAAAGTCAGAGGACCGAATCTCTGGGCCTGTCTAGAGGTACGTGGACGACCCGTCTGAGCGTTTTCTCGAGAAGCTTAACTAACAGTTCCAAGTGTTTATATGCTTGTGTAAGACATTTTGGATAGAATTTTATAAAGATGGTTCTAGCTCAGAAATTAACTTGTAAAGGCAAATGTATTTAAAAGACCACGGTAAAGTGTGTAGTAATTTAAATGTTTGCTTTAAATATATGTGTGCATGCGTTCTTTCCTTCCTGTTTGCCTTGGATGTTCCTCATTGCCTGTGTGTTACAGCCTGCTCACCCCTGACCAGGCAAAACCAGATCGGTTCCTGCACTCCAGGAGTTTACATCTTATGGGGGCAGGGGAGGAAGAAGGGAAGAACGTGGACACAGATAGATACATATAAAATGTATTCCCCTCCGTGTGTGTGTGTGTATGAATGTGTATATATATGTGTGTATGTACATACCTCTGACTGTAACCCCATATATCTGTGTGTATGTGTGTACGTCTAATAAGACTTTGGAACGAACGTGTGGCAGGGTGCTCCGTGGCTTTTATCCATTTACCTCAATGGTGAAACACTCATCAGTATGCTCTGCTGATTTAGGACTGAACGCTTTCTAGCTAGAAATCTCTGACGTTTTTCTTAGTTTGAGGATCACCTCTCAGTGAGGAGCTGGGGGATCCGACATGGGGAGGGTTTGGCTATGAAGTGACTTGCACGCTTTCTCTTTCTCTACAGAACCGATGTGCGTACGTTGGCTGTGGCGAATCCTACGTGGACCATAGCACTATTCACTCTCAGGTACGTGCATCCCCCCCCTGCAGATGAACGTTTCTTGTTAAAGCGTGAGCATGGATGTGAAAGCTGCTGTCATCATCATGCGTGAATTCCAGAATATTTAGATTCTCAGTTGAGCGATGGATGATTGCAGGGTTATCATCCCATTAACGTGGGAAACAGATGAATCATGAGGAAAGCATTGAAGAGGCTTCTGAGGGTGTGCTGACTTGTGTGAGGTTCCTTCATGGACGGGCATCCAATCTGTCTGCCACATCCTGGCAGAGAGATGCCCATTGATGGGAAGCCAGCTGCGTCCCGGGGCTCTCAGGTCGAGCAGAAGCAGGCTGGTGTCTCCAGGGTCCAGAGCAAGTCAGATAGCCGCGAAGGCTTGGGGTGCGGGTTGGTTTTTCTGATGCCAAGGCCCACGCTCTTCCCAGTCCTCCCCCCTCCTGCTCTAGCGGGCGGCTTTCATGTCCCTCATGTCATCTTCACGCTAGACACCCAGGTGTGACCACATTTCTACTCCAGCGCTTTCTTTGGGTCTGTGCGCTCGGTCCTTTTGCTTCTGCGACCCCCTCCCTCCCCCCATACCCCATCCTGGCCCGAGGGGCAACCTCAGCCCTGTGCTGCTGCCTGAATGACCGTGAGCCCATCCCTTGTCTCAGACGAGAGATTTCACTTGGGGGCAGGTCTGCCCCAAGGGCAGAGCGGAGTGTTAGCGGTTTATAGACTGGCCACTTTTTCAGCGATTGTTCACGTGGCAGGGATTTGGGGTCACAGATTAGTCCCCAGGAATTCCAGAAGACCTTTGGTCGATGCTTCTTTGCCCCCAAAGAGCTTAAGTGATCAGGGAATTCCTGTGAGGCCCCAAAGAAGAGTGGCATTGTTGGGGGCTGGGGGGGAGAGCTCACAGATTTGGGTTTCAGGGTTTCGTGTTGGCTTTGGCTTCAAGTTGGCAACAGAAGCTGTCGCTGTCAGTGAGATTTTCCTGAGTCTCCCAAGAGAAGCTTAATTTTTCCGTAGATTTTGGCTAATCTGTGTAATGTTCCATCTTTACGTTGGAACTTGGGCCTTTTTGTGTTCATTTTAAGGGGAGCTTCTGTGACTTAACTAGGAACTTACATTGTCAGGAGCCCTGAGGGGCGACAAAGGACGGACCTCTTAGTAGCCCTGGCCTCCAGACTTGGGTGTCAGCTGGTGCCTGGGAAGGGACAGAACCAGGAAGGCCTCCGGAGTGTGGGGTGTGGTGTTTCTCCCAAGGGGCCCTTCCAGCACTCCGTTCCTGGTCTTAGGGCATTGTTCCTCCAAGCTTTCACCATTAATGCCTGATTCATCTTCACTCCCTTCACATGCAGGCTGTAGACTACGGTCAGGTCCCTAATTCCTCCCTCCATCCCCTCCCTTGCCCTCTCCTGCTCTGTTTCCAGCCCGGGCCCTCCTTGGGCCACCTGGTGGCCCCTCAATGTTAGGCCTCGCCACCTTGGGGCTGGGCTTAGTGCAGAGGCAGGATTGTCTGAACCTCCTAGCCCAGGACCTCCAAGCCCAAGCAATCCACCAGCCCTCCTCCCCTGTGGTTACTACACCCCACATGTGACCAGTCTGCCCCTCGATTCAAGGTTTCTCTGCTGCTGTTCCTACTGGGTCAGAAGGCACTGGATGCTTAGCGTGTGCCAGGCCCCCTGCAAAGTGCCAGGGGAACAAGCAAAGAGCAAGCAGGCCCTGCTCTCCAGGAGTTTGCCTCCAACAGCCAGGAAGGCCGTTGCTCCTGGGTGACCAGTGCGGGCTTTCTGCAGAAGGTGCTATTGGAGCTCTGTGACAAAAGTCAGGAATGCTCAGGGTGGGACGTCAGGGGAGAGTGTTCCTAGCTGCACAGAGACAGATGTGATAGGCGAGCATGTGTGCACATACACATGCGTGTGCATGTGTGTGTAGGGGCGGTCTCTGCAGAGACGGGTGGGGGGTGACATGCATGAGGAACAGTGGATAGGCCCAGCTGGCTGGAGCATGACACGTGTGTGTGTGTGTGTGTGTGTGTGTGTGTGTGTGTGTGTGTCAAGGAAGACAGTGCAGACACAGGCATGGGGAGTGATGTGTGTAAGGAACTGCAGATAGGCCTGGCTGGAGCATGACATGTGTATGTGTGTGCGTGCGTGTGTGTGTGTCAGGGAAGACTGTGTAGACACAGGCATGGGGAGTGGCGTGTGTGAGGAACAGCAGATAGGCCTGGCTGGAGCATGACATGTGTATGTGTGTGTGTGTGTCAGGGAAGACTGTGTAGACACAGGCATGGGGAGTGGCATGTGTGAGGAACAGCAGATAGGCCCAGCTGGCTGGAGCATGACGTGTGTGTGTGTGTGTGTGTGTGTGTCGGGGAAGACAGTGCAGACAC